AATCCAAAAGCCAGGCTAGTTCTTGTGACCAAAGGCAGGGAAGACTGCTCTGGATCAGTCAGACTTTTGGAAATGGCCCAACATTCTACGTTAGTGATCCTACTTCACCTTCCTTTGCCTCTGGGGATCAACTGTCATCTTGCATTTAGCAGGAGACACATTGTCCAGTTTTGCCACTTCAACAAGACCTGAAAGACTTGGCCCCTGCCTGGGAAGCATCATTACCCATTTGCTGCCTTTGTGTTGCAGACCCTGTGAAATGGAGCCTCCAGCAACCAAATGGGAAGGGCAATTTTCACAACTGACCATGTCTCCACAGTATTTGTAGAACACCTACTGGAAGAGCCCAACACATGTAAACTTGATGTCCTACAGGCTTTTTACCTTAGACAAGCCTGCCAGTGACCAAAACTGCCCTGTTAGATGATATTTTATTTATTGAGGTGTATTTTAAGCTCATTTTCCTGAAAATAAGCATTGTGTCACTACACCCTCCAACCCTACAGAACTCCTGCTTCTCACAGGAGCAAACCACTTTGCCTGAAGGACACCATCAGAACCAGCCTTTCATCTAGACACTGTCTGCTGCATTAGCTTTTATTGCTGTTTCAAAACCTTCTTTGTAGAAATTCCTCACCATTGTCTGAACAATTAATAACCAGCCTCTGCAGCAGATGGAAATCGCACAGAAACCATGTTCATGCCAGCAAACTCTCCCCAGGTGTAACACAATCCTCTTTCTTTCCCCACCCATGAGAAGTGTTGCATTAATACATGTCTTCTCCACCTGACCTGTTAAGAAATCTTTTTACATACCTTGTAAAAGAACCCACCCTGGGAAGCAACAAATCATCCTGCTTCCGAGCAGCTCAGCTCAGCATCCATGATCTACCCTGTAGGGACTGTGCTCCTAAAGGTGGAGACATTTCCATAAACACCACATTCCACCTCTTCAGGAATTCAAGAGAATGGAAATATGGGTTGGACACGGATTGCAAAGTCAGATCATTCCTTCCATTAACAAGTCAAAACGAGTGGGTGTTGGGAAGGGGAAAACGACAACATTTTCCTCTCCCAGTTGCCCCACTACCCTTCTCTGCTTTAACACCACTCAAACATTTTTATCATTCCAGCTGCTTTTTTTTTGGCTGAAAATGTTCCTCCCTGATTTGTAAACAAAGTAATTTATTCTGGGCTGGAGCCACCTCTTTGTCCAATGAAACTCCACTTCACTGGGTAATTTTCAAAGCCTTAGGAATCTCAGGCTGCAGCTTCTAAGACCCCCCCACAAAGGCCTGATGAACTTGTTCTCCTTTGAGTATCTTTGGGGGCTGCAATCTTTCCCAACATCTAAATCCCATGGGAGAGGCTGAAGTCTACCAGGCTTCACCTTGGGTATAAACCCTCTGTCTTCACTCCTAAACAAGCTTTGCTACAGTTTGGTTTTTTAAAAACCAATTATCCTATTCATTAAATTCCCTCCTTAGACCATATATTTTAAATATCTCATTGCTTAACCTGCCACAGCTGTGGCTGAAAAAGAGCATTTAAGTCCAGGATACATGAACACAACAGATTTGAACAAATCGGAGCAATTACCAAGAGCTGATGATTAATTACTCTCCCCTACCTCATGGATCCACTGGAGAGCCCTTCAGAGAGAATTAACTTTTATGTCTAATTAAACGTGCACTTGGTGTTTAACACACCTTTCACTTCCTAGTCTTTAGGCTGAACTAAAATGAAGACCCAAAAGGCCCCAGAAGCCACTTCTGCTGACACACAAAGGTTGTTTTAACACAGTCTTACCTGCTCCAGAGGGTGAGATGAGGACCTAAAGCTTTGAGCTTTAACAGTTCCATTCTCACATCAGCCAAAAACTGCTTTGAGCTGTGCATTAATTTCGTATTTACTTCCTTTAAGTGAAAAGTAGGACAAACAGCAAGACTGGAGCCTTCAAACACTGGTGCTGCAGTTCCCAGAGGCTGGATGTCCTTCCCTCTTGCTGCCTGACTGCCATCCTGTGGCTGTTCCACAAGGTTCAGGCTCTGTGTTTTGACTGTTGAGCTCAAGGGCTTACACTGAATGGCAAATTTGGGGCAGCTGGTGGTGTCCCAGGAAGGTCTATCCCAATGGGCCTGATTTGAGCTAGGACAGAACCAAAGTTCAGAGAACCTGAAAGAGGTCTTGGACTTGTATTTGAATATTATTGTAAAATTGTGGCATGAAAAGCCTCAAGAGTGATCTGCCCCTGTGGACTCTGAACAATGACAGAAACTGAAGTTGTCACACAGCTTATTCCTCTTCCTGAGCTCTCACACACCTGGAGAATTTCCAGCAAACTCAACACACACAGATCTGCTTCTGTTGATTCAGGTCTCCTTTTGGTCTTACCCCTTAGGACTGTCAATCAGTTCATCATGTTATTTTTCGTGGTTAATCAGGCAACTGCTTCATTTTCTTGTGGATGTTTCCTCCTTACTGTGGAAAACACAAGAGTCTCACAAAAATCTTAGGCACCAAGATGGAACTTGGACACACTATTCTCTTCAAAAGATCATCCTAGCCCTTAAGTTTTTACCCATTTTCAAAATTAAACATCCAGATAATTAACTTTCCAACTCTGGACATTCAAAAAGAAAAGCCTGAACCCTTATGGTCCACTTGACCTACAAGCAGCATTTCCTTACCTCACTTGCTGGGCAACACCAAGTTCAACATTGCTGAACCCTTATGGCCCACTTGACCTACAAGCAGCATTTCCTTACCTCCTTTGCCACAGTCCACCCAGGAAGCACTTTCAAAGCCTCAGGAGCTGAGCTGCAGTCCAGCTGTTTTCCTTCAAAACGTGTTGGAAGTATTTGCATTTTTATAGCTTCTTCATGACTAGAGCACCAGTATCCAACAACTGGAGCATCTTGGGCTTCCCTTTTTTGTCAGGGATGACTGAAAGCTGGTCCTGACAAAAGGGGCAGACCTTCCTTGCCTCTTCAACCACCCTACTTGCATGTCCAGATTCAAACTTCATGGGGCCACAGAAAGAGAAGCAAATTTTATTCTCCAACCTGACAATTATGGCTGGAATGTGAGATGGATTATTGCTACCTGGACAGTCTGGGTGGTTTTATCCCATGGACAGTTGTGGAGCTTGAGTGGGGGAGATGGGAGGCCTCTTTTGAAGACTTCCTTGTCTTCAGGGTTTTCTCTTGCCTAGCTTAGGCAGCTCCCCACTTTTCCTGCTTTTTCCTTATGTACAAAGAGCCTATTCTGGGGGATTGAAGCTCCTGCTGACTGGCTCTCTTTGTGGCTAGGATCAACACTCCAAGGTCAGAGGCAACTCTTGGCAGTGCCAATGAAGTTTCACCTGCAAGCTGATACCACGTTGAATGCAATTCCTTACAGAGCTACTCTTGACTCCATAAAACACCCATCCCTTGCTCCAGAGAAAGCCATGCAACTCCCAGAAGTCAGGGGTAGTTCAGTTTTCCCTTTCCTCCTCATTCTGGAGGAAGAACTGCTGGAGGGTTTTATTTTGGTGAGACTTGTTTAGGTTTAGTTGTTTCTACTCACACAAGCTGATTTCCTTCCTCCAAATTACAAATGCTGAGTCAGATCTCTCTGCAGCTGTGGACAGGCATCTGTTCCACCTTTCAGACTCCTGAGCAGACATATTTTACTCTGGTGACAGCAATAATTGGTAAGATAAGGAATTTTATTATTAGACTTCCCTCCATCAACAGTTCTAATAATAAAAGGGGACAGAAATGGAGCAGGAAAAAACAAGGTAAGAGAGTAACTAAGGCCCATTTCCTTTATGGTCTTTATCAACAGTTACCAATGATTTAATGATTATTTTATTATTTCCACTACAATTTTATTCTGTGCTTAAGAACACTCTTGGCCTAGGAAGATGTATTTCTTCCATTCCCTCACAAACCATCCTCCTTTTGGGTATTAATTAGAAAAAAGCACCATTTGTTCCTCAAAAATCAACCCATCCCTTCTGGAGACATGTAAGCCACCTGCCACTGAGGTGACAGGGTGATGGAGCTGTCTTCATTAGTGCTACATCTTGATTTGGCATCTGTAATATTGGGGTAGTAATTGAAAAGACACAGGAAATGCAGTAAGGCTAGTGCACATTCCAAGAAATCCAGCATGTGTCCTCCTGAGGTGTGTTTTGGAGGAACATCACCCAGTAGAAAATGACCAGGGCTCCATGGGTCAAAGTCATGAGTTCTCTCCACTTAACTGATCACTCAAAAAAGAGTGAAGCTTCAGGTGACCACAGACCAACTACCCTTTTGCTTCCTCAGTCACCCTTGGAAGGATCCCCACTATGGATGTGCCACTTTTCCATCTCTTCTGACTTCCAGGACTGGGTCCAATGACACTCAGAAGTATGGCACTATGGAAACCACTTGCAGAGACCCCATGGGAGATCCCCAATGGGCATACAGCCCAGAGGCCTTCACCACAGAAGAGATGTGGAGGGCAGCATTCCCAGAATCTGGCATGCTGAGCTCTCACACCTACATACCTGGAGAATAAGCTGCACTTCCCTAAGATCTAATCAGATCTTTTTCTTACAGACCTGCTGCCTGCACCTCCTCCATCTCACCCACCTACATACAAACTGCTTTGGGCTCTCAGGTGCTCCCCATTGTCCCTTGGTTTGGACACTTCTGTTGTCATTGTTATTGACATACAGGTGTTTGAAAATACTGCACCCACACAACTCCTTCTTGCTTCCCCAATTCAATGTTCTTTGTGGTGTCCCAACTTTCTTGCCACATCCATGAGAGCCACCTCACCAAGATCTATGTCAGAGAAGAGATTTCCCTCCTGCATACTCAGCAATTGATTACCAGCAGACAGAAAGGAACCTGCTCCTGGTCCCAGTGCTTCCTCCTGCTTGGTGGAACTTAACCTCCTCCATTCAGCTTTCCTCCATAACTCAGCACCAGAGAAGAGGAATGAAAGAAGCACAAGAAGAATTAAGAACACAGCTTTTAAAAAAAATAATAATAATCATATTAATCACTTTCATCAGTGGAATTAAGTGGTGCCACCTCCCCACCTCTGGCTTAGCCAGCTCTCTGTCCTCTCTGCAGTATCTTCCTGGTGATCACCACAGGAGGCAACAAGGGTGGGGAATTCCTCTGGAAGGATCCACTGCTTCTTATTTATGCAGATAAGCATCAAGCCAGAGCTCCCCTGAGTCTTTCAACGAGCTGCCAAGAGAGAACCACATTTTTTCCTTAGAAACAAGGGGGTGAAATACAGATCAGAGCCTTGTGGGAGGAATTCCCATCTACAGATTAAGCAAAAGAGACCAGAGAATCATGGAATGGGTTGGTTGGAAGGGACTTTTAAAGGCCCTTTAGCTCAACCCCCTTGCAATGAGCAGGGTCATCTTCAACTACATCAGCTTGCTCAGAGATTTTGAGAGGCAAGGCAATACAGACTACAGCTCCTGGGAAAGATGAAGAACCACTGGGGTGGTTAGACAAAGGCTGGAAGGGCAAAGGAAACAACTCAATTAGAAGGAGAACAAAAGGAGCAGGTGTGGGAAAGGGAGCCACCTGACTTTTTAACGGAGTAAGAAATGTCTGGGGGCAAGGAAGGGAAAAAAGGAAGAAAAAAGAAAGAATGAGTGACAGTTCAAGCTCTTTGTGAAAACATTTCTTTTTCTGGAGCACTGTCAGAGACAGGGGCACCAGACCTGGCATCCTATGGGCCTCTGACTCCTCAGAGCTGAAGAAGAGAGCTCCCCATTGGGTTTCTCCTACTGCCACCTTCTGCCTGATGCTCCTGAAACCAGCACCACGGCTGAACAGTTTTCCAACCCCTTTCACAATCATCTGTGCCACGTACAGCTCTCCACAGAACGTCTGTGAGCCAGGCTGGCTGCCTCTCCCCTTTCCCACATCCCTTGTTCACTCCAGAATTCTGGAAAACCCTTTACCTAGGGCTGACACTTACTGTACAATGTCTGCAAAAGCTGTGAGCAGAGGCTTGCACTGGTACTCGATGCCGTGTTTGGCACACAGGGACTTCACCAGAGGAGCCACCTTCCAGTAGTTGTGCCTTGGCATCGTGGGGAAGAGGCTGTGGGAAAGCAAAGTGGTGACTCAATGGCATTCAGCATCACCCCAGAGGATTCCTGACCCTCCTCTGGGCCCAAGCCTGGGAGTGCCTCAAGCTCCCCTTGTGCCCGTGGCCATCAGTGCTCTGGAGTGGTCCCTCCCGTGTCCCTTCAGTCAGCATTGGTACCAGCCAGGAGGCTGGTAATTCTCACTCCTGTGCCTTGCTACTCAGCTCTGAAGTAATGTTGGTGCTCACCCCCAGGCTCCAAAAAGCTTCTCAGAGTTCCCATTCCATCCCCAGAGAAAGAGCATGATATTTACATTGTATTTTATTCTTGTACCAACTTGTAAGACAGGGAAGGACCTTGTAGGCTCTTCAGACCTAGTGTAACCAGCACTCCTTAAACTCCCCTCACATCCCTGACCCCATGCTTCAACTCACTGGTGCTCGATTTGGAAGTTCAGATGCCCACTAAACCAGTCATTGAACAGGGACTGATGAACATTGCAGGTTGCCTGGAGCTGAGAGAAAGAGCAGAAACATTTAAGTGTTGTTTTAGGAATGTCCTTTCTCTGACATGTGTCAAACACAACAGTAAGCAGGTGCAAGTTCCTTATCACCACGTGCCTTCTGAGCAAATACAGTAACCCCAAGAGCTCAACACAAGATGGCCATGCTGTGATACAAGATTGTTAGGGACCAAATAAGACAGGGCACTTGAGAGGTCTGCATCCTTCATGCACAGAAACCTCTTCTTCTGAAGAGCACTGCAGCCCTTCTTGTTGTTTTTCTTGAGGCATCTGTGCTCAGTGTGTGCAGCCTCCATCCCACCTCTGCACCTTCTTTCCTTGCACTAATCACATCACACAGTCAGGACAAGCTGCTTATGTTCTCCTCTCTCATTTCCCATCACCTCTGCGATCAGCTCTCTTGGGCAACATGTACCCAGATCTGTCACTTCAAAGGTCTGTAGAAATGTCTTACCTGGGTAGAGAACCAGTCCACATTCTTATCATAATCAATGTGCATCGGGATGTGATTCATTTGTGTAACCCAGACAAACCAGTTACTCTCTATAAACCTGTGCAGACAGACACAAAAAACCATCACTGATCTCACACCTGTGCCATCACAAGTCAGTACAAAACACTTGGACACACACACACATCCCCCAGTCCTTCCTTGACAAAATGAACCCCAAACACCTGATCAGCAGATCAGATCTACACACACCTTCTAAAGACAAGCACCTGACAGACAACCACCTGCCCTGCTGAGACAGAAGAGCAGGATGATGAGGAAGATAACCAGGAGGATGGAAAAGCTGACACAAAGGACTGACAGATGGAGAAAATCAGGAGCTGAATGATACCTGACTAACAGATGAAGCCCCAGGATGCCCTTCACCCCCAGCAAGGGCAAGTAGGTGAGAAAGAATCGGATGTAGAAGGTCAGCATCCAGGCCAGGTCCTGCAGCACAGGGAACAGATACAACATCATTAAGATGAAGAATTACTGGCTTCTGAATTTACCATCCACTCTCCGTGGCACTTCCCTTAAAACCTCCCAGAATTTTTTCTACTGATAGATTTTTTTCCTCCCTGGCTCCATCACAAAGCAATGTGATGCACAGCCACTTCCCAGATGCTCCTGTGCTTGGGAATTACTCTGGACTTAGGAGCCCAGCCCAGGGCTAACACTAGAGAGGACATGCTCTAAAGCATCATGTTTTCCTCTGGATCTAAAGAAAAAGAAAGCAGGGAGAAAGCCAAAAAACCTGGCCACTGAAAAGAATGAAGAGCTCTGGTTTACCTCCATCCCCGTTTTTGTTCCTCTTCACATTTCTTGCAATCCCTTCTTTCCCTTATGTTAATTTTCTCCTGACTGTCCCATCTCCCAGGCAAGAAGAAAACAGCCAAGATGTCTCTAACCTCCACATCTCAGAAAACACCCATCTTCCTTTTGCATTTTTTTTCCCCAAACTCTCTAGAAACCATGTTATTTCTCAAGGTCCTAGATTTTCCCCTTAAATCTTCCTAACAACTCTGGAAGTCCACATCCCGTATTCCACTTCACACTGACTTGTGAGCACCCAGGTTAAGGCTGCCTGAAAGCTTCTTGATTTTTCAGACATCATTTTGCAAAGTGGAGGTGCACTGAATTCTCCTCCAAACCCCTCTGATTTCTGCTTCTTTTCCCTTTTTCCTGTGCCTCTTAAGTTTTTATTGTATTGGTTTGGGAAAACCAAAATAAGAAGTGTCCAGAATAACCACTTCTACCTAAAATCAGACTCTCGTGCTACCTGAAGGACAAATTCTGTATGAAAAGCAGCTCTGAAGAAAAAGGAATGCTTCCAGACATTCACACACTTTGGATCAAGGCAGAACATCAGGCATTATTTGCCAGATTATGAACCCACCCCCCTTGCCACAGAGACACACAGCTCAGAGCTCCTGATTTTTTGCACTGAAAAAGAAGGAAAAGTCCCCCCTGGCAAAGTGGAGCTGACTCACCACCCACTGTTTCCTCTGCACCACAAAGTAGAATATGTACCACTGGAAGTAAAGAGGCACCAGAGCTGGGGGACCAACTAGAGTGGAGAAATAAGATTGCAGAGACATTAACTGTGCCCTTTCAATCCAGGGAGATAGGCTGGAAAAGGAAGGGGAGGAGTGAATGTTGTCCACACCACTGCAACAGGGTAAGGCTACTCACTGATGAAGAAGTACTTGTGCTGGTGGTTGTAAGGCATGAATTTCTTCTTCTGCACACCAAGCTGTTAAAATAAACATAATACTCAGGCTGTGGAGACAGCTAAAGACACCTGTGCACTCTCTCCTACCTGTTCTTTCAGAGAGGCATACTTAGATACCTCCTAACCCTTGAAAGAGATGTCCTATCGAACCATGCCATGGGCTTCATCATCCCCTGGAACTTCAGTCTACAAGGGCCACGGGAAGTTCTCCTCCCTGCCTTGGATGCACAAGAGGCTGGGTAGTCCCTTGCACCACCATCAGCAAGGTGCAGGGGAAGCTCTTTCCC